GTAATACTCCATCATACAACGTAGACAATTGGGCTCTTCCAACCTTGTGGTAACAGTTTGGTGAAGACCCTTTTCTGTTCCCCCATGAATATCCCTGTGTACAAAGCCAGCTCCATAAAGACATGGATCACCAGTCTGGTGTGGAGGAACTCAAGTGTCCTGTACACAGCCCTGACCTCAAACCTACTGAACACCTTTGAGATGAATGGGATCGCCACTGGTCCTCTCATCCAGCAACAGTACCCAATCTTACAAATGGGCACAACTTCCCATAGGCGCCATTCAAAATCAATCGGAAAGCCTTCCAGAAGAGTGGAGGATGTTATAACTAGAGATGAGCGAATCGAACCAGGCGAACCGGAATTCGAGTCGAATTTCAGGAAATATTCGATTGCGTCGAATCCGAAATTTTGCCTACTTCGGGTGCGCGAATCGAATATTTCCCGATCAGCCGGCAAAAGTGTCCCTGCAGTGAGCTCCGCTATTTCGACAGTTCTCTGACAGAAGGAACACATGTTTAGCGGTTGAAACATTGTATCTATTAGTTTCCATTTAGGATACAGATGTTTCAACCGCTGTACATGTGAAGAAGCTGTCAGAGAACTGTCAGAAATAGAGGAACTCTGCACATACACTTTTTGCCGGCTTGGAATTATTCTTATTTTCATCCTACTTCTTCTTCTTCTTCATCCTCATCCTCAGAAGAAGAAGAAGAAGAGGATGAGGATGAAGAAGAAGAAGAAGAAGAAGAAGTAGGATGAAAATAAGAATAATTCCAAGCCGGCAAAAAGTGTATCTGCAGCGCTCCTCTAAGTGTATCTGCAGAATGTCATTTATGGAAACAAATAGATACAATGTTTCAACCGCTGTATGGAGTGAATGTCCCAGAACTGTCAGAAATAGACAGAAACTGTCACAGAACTGTCCTTCTTCTCATCCTTCTCCTTCTTCTCATCCTTCTTCTCATCCTTCTTCTCATCCTTCTCCTTCTTCTCATCCTTCTCCTTCTTCTCATCCTTCTCCTTCTCCTTCTTCATCTCCATCTTCTCATCCTTCTCCCTCTCATCCTTCTCTCTTCTTCTCATCATCCCTTCTTCTCCTTCTTTCCATCCTTCTCCTTCTTCTCATCCTTCTCCTTCTTCTCATCCTTCTCCTTCTTCTCATCCTTCTTCTCCTTCTTCTCATCCTTCTTCTCATCCTTCTCCTTCTCATCTTCTCTCATCCTTCTCCTTCTTCTCATCCTTCTTCTCATCCTTCTCCTTCTTCTCATCCTTCTCCTTCTTCTCATCCTTCTCCATCTTCTCATCCTTTCCTTCTTCTCATCCTTCTCCTTCTTCTCTTTCTTCTCATCCTTCTCCTTCTCCTTCCTTCCTTCTTCTCATCCTTCTCCTTCTCCTTCTTCTCATCCTTCTTCTCCTTCTCCCATCTTCTCCTTCTTCTCCTTCTCCTTCTCTCATCTTCTCATCCTTCTCCTTCTCTTCTTCTCATCTTCATCCTTCTCCTTCTCCTCTCTCCATCTTCTCATCCTTCTCCTCCTTCTTCTCATCCTTCTCCTTCTTCTCCTTCTTCTCATCCTTCTCCTTCTCCTTCTTCTCCTTCTCCTTCTCCTTCTTCTCATCCTTCTCCTTCTCCTTCTTCTCATCCTTCTCCTTCTCCTTCCCCTTCCTCATCTCCAAGGGCATTTAAATTAAAGGTACAGTGTTCTGCACTAATTTAAAGGCTCTCTGAAGCCTAGAAACCCTTTTAATAAGTTAACTTCGTAGCGAATTAATTCGCATCGAATCGAATTTCATACTGGAATTCGCCGAATCAGCCGAATCAAATTTTTGAGAAATTCGCTCATCTCTAGTTATAACCACAAAGGTTTGCAAATCCATTGTAATGGCCATGGCAGGGGGTAGACAGTATAATTATGGCCATGTTTGGGGACAACTCCATTTTAATGGCCATGGTTTGGGGTGTGATATCCTCCAAGTTGAAATATCCTACAAGTACATATAAGTTTGCACAAAATGTTTGCAGTATAGTGTACCATATGAGTTATTGATAATAGGGAAGAGGGCAACTCCATATTAATGGTCATGATTGAGGGCAACTCCATTTTAATGGCCATGGATGGGGACAACTCAATATTATTGCCATGGTTGAGGGAAAATCCATTTTAATGGCCATGGTTGGAGACAACTTCAGTTTATTGGCCATGTTTGAGGGCAGCTCCATGTTAATGGCCATGGCTGGGGACAATTGCATTTTAATGGCCATGTTTGAGGGCAACTCCATGTTAATGGCCATGGTTTGGGGCAACTCCATTTTAATAGCCATGGTTGGGATAACTCCATATTAATGGCCATGGTTGGGGGCAACTCCATGTTAATAGCCATGGGGGAGGGACAACTCCATATTAATGGCCATTGGAGGGGGGCATCTCCATATCAATTATCATGGTTGAGAGCAATTCCATTTTAATGGCCATGGTGGGGACAGCTCAATATTATTGGCCATAGTTGGGAGCAACTCCATATTAATGGCCATGGTTGAGGGCATCTCCATTTTATTGACCATGGTTGGAGACAACTCCATATTAATGGCCATGGTTGAGGGCAAGTCCATTTTATTGGCCATGGTTGGAGACAACTCCATTTTAATGGCCATGGGAGGGGGCAATGCCATATTAATTGACATGGGGGAGGGACAACCCCATATTAATGTCCATGGGAGGGGGCATCTCCATATTAATGGTCATGGTTGGGGACAGCTCAATATTATTGGCCATGGTTGAGGGCAACTCCATTTTATTGGCCATGGTTGGAGACAACTCCATTTTAATGGTCATGGTTGAGGGTGACTCCATTTTAATGGCCATTGTTGAGGGCAACTCCATTTTAATGACCATGGTTTGAGGCAGCTCCATAATAATGGCCATGGGGAAGGGACAACTCCATTTATATCGCCATGGGAGAGGGCATCTCCATATTAATGGCTTTGGTTGGGGGTGACTCCATACAAATGGCCATAGGGAAGGGGGTGACTCCAATATTAATGACATTAATGACCATGGTTTGGGATGAGAGATCCTACAAGTTCATATAGGTTTGCACAAAGGTTTGACCATATTGTGTACCATATGAGTAGCAGATATACATTTTTTTCCAGGCAAAAAATACAAAATACACATTGCTGCATGTTAAAATTAGGTAAACACACCTAAACCCACCATCAATGTAGAATATACTCAAAGCTTCATTTGCACCGTGTAAAATGTGACTCCAGAATGCATCTCATATACAGTATAATACCCCTTACTATAAATACCACAAGAAGGATGTAACCTCACCGTATGTTGTGATTATTACAATGGGGGGTCCTGCATGCCACGGCTCATCTCCCCCTTGTCTCCGCAGTTCCTGGGTCTGCACTCACACAGTGACACAGACGGTCACGCTCATAATGGAGAAGATGAGGACCGCACACACATTTGGAAGCTGCTGGCAGTCCTGGGGGTCTCTACGCCTTCTTTCTGATGGAGAGTTTGTTCAATATTCTGATGGCAGATAAGGTGAGTCCCAATCACTGGAAAATCAGCTTAGGGTGTGGAAGATTAAACCTTCTCCTCCCCCCCAGGCCATCCATCCCATAGAACAGATTATAAGGTTCTAGCAGGAGCCTAGATTGCTCACCAACATTTGTGACATCATTACTGGTCACGTGTGAAGCTTGGCTCTTGCCTCTAGGGGGCAGTCCATACAGCTCCCCCCCAAGTGTAAAGTGTGACTCCCTTCCTCAGGAAGGCAGGTCATACAGCCCCTTCTATGTATGAAGTTTTGACTCCTCCCTCTAGGGAGGCAGTTCATACAGCTCCTCCACATGTGTGCAGTTTTGGTTGTGGAGAAAGTTCATACAGCTCCTCCCCATGTTTGTTTTTTGCTCCCTCCTTGGAGAAAGTCATACAGCTCCTCCCCATGTGTGAACTTGGAGGAAGCATACAGCTCCCCATGTGTGAAGTTTTGCTCCCTCCTTGGAGGAAGGTCATACAGCTCCTCCCCATGTGTGAAGTTTTGCTCCCTCCTTTGGAAGGTCATACAGCTCCTCCCCATGTGTGAAGTTTTGCTCCCTCCTTGGAGAAAGTCATACAGCTCCTCCCCAGGTGTGAAGTTTTGCTCCCTCCTTGGAGGAAGGTCATACAGCTCCTCCCCAGGTGTGAAGATGGCTCCCTCCTTGGAGGAAGGTTATACAGTGCCTCCCCATGTGTGAAGTTTAATGCCTTCTTTGGGGCAAGATCATATAGCTCCTCCCCATCTGTAAAGTTTGGTTTCCTCCTAAGAGGAAGGTCATACAGCTTCTCCCCATGTGGGACGTTTGGTTCCTTCCTTGGAGGAAGGTCATACAGCTCCTCCCCATGTGTGAAGTTTGATGCCTTCCTTGGGGGAAGGTCATTTAGCTCCTCCCTATGTGTAAAGTTTGGTTTCCTCCTAAGAGGAAGGTCATGCAGCTCCTCCCCATGTGTGAGGTTTGGTGCTTTACTTGGGGGAAGGCCATACAGCTCCCTCCCCCGTGCAATAAGTTTGGAGCTTTGTGGGAAGGAGAGTCAGGCCAATTCATTTCATATGGGGTGGAGAATATCTGATAACAGAGACTCTTTTTTGGTTTATTGTTATGTATGATGTCATGTATACTGTATGTCATATGTTGCCTCTTATGAAATGTCTGAATGTTCAACCTTCTGTATTTCTGTACTAACAACCAATCAGCTTCTCCTCTTCCCGTTCATAAAGCAGATTAGAAAAGGTAATAAAGACGCTGATTACTTCAGCTGCAGTTGGATTCTCTGATCAATAGAGAAAATAGAAGGTAATTTCTGTGTATTTTCTGCATACAGAATGAAGAGGACCACAAAGGGCACTGTGACCATGGCCTGTCCCTGCAGACCTACCACGAGGAGCAGAAGAGAAGGAAACAGGAGAAACAATTTTCATCACAGGCAGATCTGGTATGATAGAGTCCATCCATCCTCCGACATTCCTCCCAGACCGACTTCAATACCCGGACTACTCATACCGGCTCTTCCCCAATATCCCAAATACTCTCAATTTACTCTTCCCCAGCACCCTGATTACCTCCATCTACTCTTCATCATATCCCGCTTATACCCCATCACCCTCTTCCCAAATACTCTGATGACTCCATATCTCCTACTCCATAACCTGATTACGCTTAGTCTATGATCCCCCCGCACCCTGATTACATCCCATCTGCTCCTACTCCTGCCAGACTCATCCACCCTACTAACCGTTCCATGTCTGCTATCCCTCTCTGCCAATCCCTCCACTGGACTCCACTCATGTCCTCCATCCCCTCTCTGGCCTCCACTGGCTTCCACTCAGTGTCCTCCACCCCTCTCTGCCAATCCCTCCACTGGCCTCCACTCAGTGTCCTCCATCCCTCTCTGCCAATCCCTCCACTGGACTCCACTCAGTGTCCTCCATCCCCTCTCTGCCAATCCCTCTACTGGCCTCCATTCAGTGTCCTCCACCCCTCTCTGCCAATCCCTCCACTGGCCTCCACTCAGTGTCCTCCACCCCCCTCTGCCAATCCCTCCACTGGACACCACTCAGTGTCCTCCACCCCTCTCTGCCAATCCCTCCACTGGACTCCACTCAGTGTCCTCCATCCCTCTCTGCCAATCCCTCCACTGGACTCCACTCAGTGTCCTCCATCCCTCTCTGCCAATCCCTCTACTGGCCTCCACTCAGTGTCCTCCACCCCTCTCTGCCAATCCCTCCACTGGCCTCCACTCAGTGTCCTCCACCCTCTCTGCCAATCCCTCCACTGACCTCCACTCAGTGTCCTCCATCCCTCTCTCTCTACTGTCCACTCAGTGTCCTCCACCCCCTCTGCCATCCCTGTGCCTCCATTCTGTCCTCCACCCCTCTCTGCCCAATCCCTCCACTGGCCTCCACTCAGTGTCCTCCACCCCTCTCTGCCAATCCCTCCACTGGCTTCCACTCAGTGTCCTCCACCCCTCTCTGCCAATCCCTCCACTGGCCCTCACTCAGTATCTTTCATCCCTCTCAGCCAATCCCTCCACTGGCCCTCACTCAGTATCTTTCATCCCTCTCAGCCAATCCCTCCACTGGCCTCCCATTGCCCAACGAATAAAATTCAAAACATTAACAATCACATATAAAGCCATTTATAACTCCGCCCCAAATTACATCACCGATCTCGTCTCCAAATATCACCCAAACCGTTCTCTCCGCTCCTCCCATGACCTCCTGCTCTCTAGCTCCCTTGTCTCCTTCTCCCATGCTCATCTCCAAGACTTCTCCAGGGCCTCCCCCATCCTCTGGAACTCTTTACCCCAGTTTATCAGACTATCGCCTACTCTGCTCACTTTTAGGTGATCTCTGAAAACCGATCTCTTCAGGGAAGCCTATCCTGCCCTCAGCTAATAATGGAATCTTCTATTCCTCCTACCACCAGTCCATCCCCCACAGTTACTACCTTTTGTACCACCAGCACCTCCCTCTTAGATTGTAAGCTCCCAGGATCAGGGCCCTCCTAACCCTCTTGTATTGATCTGTATTGTTGCTGTATTGTCTCCCGTTATATTGTACAGCGCTGAGCAAACTGTTGGTGCCATAAATCCCGTATAATGATATTAGCAATCCTCACCATTACATTGCTTATACACCTAACAGAACTGCATATTGTATTGGACCATTAATAAGACCCCAACAATACCGGCACATATTAAATCCATTCCACTCAGCTCAGATACCTTTTTTTAATCTTTTATTTTGTGGTCCTGTGATGGAGCCCGTGTACCTCCACACCACACTGTCCAAGGTGAGGATTAGCATGTGATGAAGTTCTCGAACTGAGCATTATTTGAAATTAAACATCCCCAGCATCCCTTTAGATGTGCATGTTCCTGATGCCTTCACCCACCCCTTTAGACAGGGTGCCGCAGACTTTAGCCGTGCATTCTGCTGATTAGTTGTTGACTACACTCTAATAGAGTGATCAGCAGATTGCACAGCTAAAGCCTGAAGCATCCAATGGCCAAGAGGGAGGATCATGCACCTCTAAAAGGATTCCAGGGACACGTTCTTTCATATAATGCTCAGGCTCAGATCAGAGCATGGCTTCCTTCCAGAAGAAAGCTGGAGAATGCAGGTGTGAGCGGCAATACTGCAGATGGAAGATCAGCTGGTACAGTGTTGTCACTCAGTAAGGAAGTAGAGGGAAATGACGGGATTAGCCAGGAATTTACTATCCATTGATATAGTCATGAAATATTGAGCACACGGCAACAGAAATTCATTTTCTTTGCCAGAAACGTATCCTGTAATGTGTGTCCAATGCAGATAATCTGCCGGAAAAGAGGAACCAGAAATGTAATTATTGATGATAAAAATCAGCCAATGACAATACAGGAATGACAGGATATCTGACAGATCGTTCTATGATTGCAGGTGAGCGCCGACGTGGAGACGGAGAAGAGTACAAGACCTACCAAGAGCCGAGGTAAGTACCGCCAGATATACACTGCACACCCTGGGGTGATAATATGGGGCGGTGATAATACGGGGCGGTGATAATACGGGGCGATGATAATACGGGGCGGTGATAATACGGGGCGATGATAATACGGGGCGGTGATAATACGGGGCGGTGATAATACGGGGCGATGATAATACGGGGCGATGATAATATGGGGTGATTATAATATGGGGCGGTGATAATACGGGGTGATGATAATATGGGGTGATTATAATATGGGGTGATGATAATATGGGGCGATGATAATATGGGGTGATGATAATACGGGGCGGTGATATGGGGCGATGATAATACGGAGCGATGATAATACGGGGCGGTGATAATATGGGGTGGTGATAATATGGGGAGGTGATAATATGGGGTGATTATAATATGGGTGATGATAATATGGGGAGGAGGTGATAATATGGGGTGATTATAATATGGGGTGATGATAATATGGGGCGGTGATAATATGGGGTGATAATACGGGGGCGGTGATAATATGGGGTGATTATAATACGGGGCGGTGATAATATGGGGCGGTGATAATATGGGGCGGTGATAAAACGGGGCGGTGATAATACGAGGCGATGATAATACGGGGTGATGATAATATGGGGTGATGATAATACGGGGCGATGATAATATGGGGCGATGATAATATGGGGTGATGATAATATGGGACGTTGATAATACGGGGTGATGATAATACGGGGTGATGATATTATGGGGCGATGATAATATGGGGTGATGATAATATGGGGCGATGATAATCCGCACCTACATTCATTCTGTATGAATCGGACGGATCTGAATGTTAGTTGGATATTTCCTCTGCAGGTCGGATGTTTCTCATTCATACAGTAGAGTGGATGAGGGATTATCACATTATGGCCACTAGATGGCGATGATGATCATAGGACTTCAGCGCCATCTAGTGGACATAATGCAGTAACTTCGGTTTCTCTCTGGTTTATGAATAGATGACATTCCACCCAGAAGGAACGCGACGTAATAACATTCGATTTTGCCGCCATTGACACGGAAGGAATGTACATGAAGAATAGCTCTGTGATTTTATTATAAATCCCCCCATGTGGTTTGGCTGTGGTGGGAAACCATTACAGAGAGGGGATCCCCAATGTACAGAGCTAGAGGTGACCCCAGCCCTGTACACCCTCCCCATCCCCCACCCCCTCCCTCCACATACACCCCATTGTGTCTTTGTCTGTCTTGCAGAGCTGCGGATGATCCCATACATGATCACCATTGGTGACGCCATACATAATTTTGCGGACGGTCTGGCTATGGGAGCCGCATTCTCACTGTCCTGGAAAGTGGGACTGGCCACGTCACTGGCTGTGTTGTGTCATGAACTGCCGCATGAGCTGGGTGAGTCCTGATCTGGATAAAATCAGGGGAAAATGGCTGCCCCTCCCACGGCAGGGTGACAGATTGATGGGGGACTGCCCCTCCCACTGAAGGGTGAAACAGGCTAATAGGAGTCAGCCCATCCAATTGCAGGGCGAATCAGACTGATAGGGATCTGCCCCTCCCACTGTAGGTAGAAAGTGACTGATAAAGGTCTGCTCCTCCCACTGCAGAGTGCAAAAGACTGATAGGAGTCTGCCCCTCCCACTGCAGGGCGACACACACTGATAGGGGTCTGCCCCTCCCACTGCAGGGTGACATAGATGGTGGATGCTCCTCCCACTCCAGGGTGGCATAGATGGAGGCATGCTCCTCCCATTGTAGGGTGACATAAAAAGAGTATGCTCCTCCCCTTGCAGGTGACACAGATGTAGGTATGCTCCTCCTATTGCAAAATGACATAAATGGAGGTATGCTCCTCCCATTGTAGGGTGACATAGATGGAGGTTGCTCCTCCCCTTGCAGGGTGACATAGATGGAGGTATGCTCCTCCCACTGCAGGTGACACAGATGAGGAGGTATGCCCCTCCCATTGCAGAGTGACACAGATGAAGGGATGCCCCTCCCATTGCAGGGTGACATAGATGGAGGTATGCTCCTACCACTGCAGGGTGACACAGATGGAGGTATGCCCCTCCCATTGCAGGGTGACACAGATGGAGGGATGCTCCTCCCACTGCAGGGTGACATAGATGGAGGTATGCTCCTCCCATTGCAGGGTGGCATAGATGGAGGTATGCTCCTCCACTGCAGGGTGACACAGACGTTTGTATGCTTTGTCTTGGCAGGTGATTTTGCGGCTCTGCTGCACGCGGGTCTGACGGTGCGCCGGGCGTTGCTCCTGAACTTCGGCAGCGCTCTAACATCCTTCATCGGGTTGTACATCGCCCTGTCGGTGGCAGCGAATGAAGCCATCCAGCAATGGATCTTCACAGTGGCCACGGGGCTCTTCCTGTATGTGGCCCTGGCAGACATGGTGAGCACCCTTCCCAGAAACGTTCCGTCCTCTCCTCTGTCCGTCCCCCGCTGACTCCCCCTCTTCTCTTCCAGCTGCCAGCCATGATGAATGTGAAAGACCACCGGCCATGGCTGATCTTCCTCCTTCACAATCTGGGGCTCCTTGTGGGCTGGGCCATCCTTCTGCTGCTGTCCATCTTTGAGGAGAATATTGCCCTCTGAGGAACCTCCTTCAGACCTTAGCAGGACATGGTATGACCCAGTATGGGATCCGCCCAGCTCTGTCCAGCATCATGGTGGACCTCCGTTGTTCCTTCAGAAGAGACATTCTGGGCCCCAATCAGGTGATCCACTCATAGCACTTTCTGGACTCGCCCCATGAGTGTGACCTTCATCCTCCGTCTTCCCATCGTTCCTCGTCCTCAGGATTTCACTGCTGTACTGTTTTGTACTCAATACAATTATTTAAACAAAATGTCTGGTGGTGTCACAAGTTGGATATGTTGCTGCGTAG